GCCTGCAGAGCCATGAGCCGGTAAACCTCTTTTTTTTTTTATAAATTACCCAGCCTCGGGTATTCCTTTATAGTGACAAAAATGGGCTAAGACAGCACTGCCTACTCTCCAGTGTCTAAGAACAGTTGGTTCATGTTTTTGGCCCAGTTTTCTGGTTGCTGAACTCAGAAGAGTGAGTCTGGAACCTGTAGAAGGGGCTGTGCCATGGATCTTTAATATCAAAGTACTCATTTCTCTGCCACTGTAATACGACGCTGGTGAGTTCAGCGGCACCACTGAGTTGGGGTGCGTGGAGCTTAGAAGCCATGTGGCGCTAGCCTTTCACATTTCTGGCAGACACAGGAAGCCCGGGGGGTGGTGGGGCAGGGCCGCTGAGCAGCTGGTGGGCAAGCAGGTTAATGCAAGCCATGTTTACCCCTGCGCTGCCCTCAGCGGCTGCCTACCATGTCCTCCCCCAGCCTGGGCACCCAGGTAACAGCTCTGAACTCTGTCTGCAACCCCCATGCCAACACTCATGCACATTCCTGTGCAAACATTACTTTCCTACCAAGTCGGCCCGTGGCTGGTGGGCTGCCTCTAGAGGAGCTGTGTCCACACCAGCCCTCCCGAAAACAACCGCACCACAGTGCTGGGTTAGGGTTAGGACCTGGGACAGCCCCTCTCCTCTCAGGCCGTCCCAGCCCACCAGAGTCTAGTAATACCTGCCACCAGCTAAAGCAAGACTCCTCAGCAAACCCCAGCCCGCCCTCACCACAGAGCCCTTTGGTCAACACACAGCACAGGGCTCATTCATGCAGGGGCTGAATGTTGGCAACTACAGGCACACGTCTGTGCTGGGCCGAAGTATTACACCTGCGGGGGAGGAGCAGTTCTCAGTCTGCCCTGGGCTGGAAGTGGGCATGCCTCAGACCTCATGCCAGCCTGGGTCCTGAGCATGGCCCGGGGCTCAAGCAGCCTGAGCTGGGACAGAGGGATGACCTCCTGTCACGAGGCCAGCCTGGGTCTTGTTGCCCAGCAGGTGTCACTGGCCACACACAGTGAGACTCGCTCAGCAGGAAGGGCCGAGCAGGCTGGGAGTGCGGCTGGCAGTGGGCACAGCACCGGCTCCTCCATGTGTGCTTCTCCTCCCAGGTTTCCAGACTGTCTGCGAGAGTCAGGCTTGCTCCTGGTGCTGCAGGTGCCCTGGAGACATGGGTGCTAAGGTGAAGCTGCCACAGGGGAGGGTGGCTCCCCATCCCTTTGCCCAGGACTGAGGGGTTTCCCACCGCAAGGGAAATGCGGAGAAGGCCCCAGGCAGACTGAACGGGTTGGTCACCCCACCTAGTGTGGCAGCTGATGAGTTGACATCTCAAAGATTCGCATCCTGGTGGCTAGGCCTGTGAATGTGCGACCTCACATGGCCCCTGCAGGTGTGATTAAGTCAAGGACTCGAGCTGGGGAGTGGCTCTTGGATGGGGTGGACCCTAAATGCAATCACAGGAATCCTTTTAAGAGGAGGCAGAGGGAGATTTGGCACACGCAGGGAAGGAGGCCGCGCAAAGACAGGCAGAGATGGAAAGGTGCAGCCACACCACGGACGCCTGGGCCGCCGGAAGCCTGGAGAGGCAGGACTAGATTCTGCCCTTGAGCCTCCAGAAGAAGCCAGCCTTGCTGACATCTCGATTTTAAAGCCATGAGACGTATTCTGAACTCCTGGCCTCCGGACCCGTGAGATAATAATGTTTTCTAATAATGCCAGCCCTCCAAAGCAAGGCTGCTCAGCAGACCACGCCCCCCACACTACAGAGCCCCTCAGTCTGCAGATTCTCAACAGCAGCCCAGGAGACAGGAGCCAGGAGACACCACCCCCGCCTGCAGCCGGGCTGAGCTTGGCGGCCACAATAGGGGTGGCCGGAGCAGAGTGCTGCCTCGGAAGTTCTAGTTCACGGCGGGGGAAAGTGCCAGGAGGCCTGGTGAGTCCCGGAATAGTGAAGATGGGGTAGCCACTGGGCCACCTGGAAGATGACCACAGTGCCTGCACCCCCACCTGGTTGTCCCCCACCCCAGGGCTGCTGCAGCCACACCTGGTACCCTCCCCAGCTTCCTCTCTGACCCTCCGTCTGGGCAGGGCAATTGGGCCGGGGAGCTGGCCACACCGAGAGCTGTACCTCTACTACAATTCCGGGGCCGCGTCCTTCGTCCTCAAAACAGCAAGCCCACCTCCAATGCCAGACTCGGGGCTGCACGTGGCCAGGCAGAAGTAGCTGTGAACTCACAGAGGACAAAAGAAGAAAGAGAAAGAGAAGCCCTTCAGCGCCTCGGCTGAGCTGTGTTTGCTGTAATTTCTCCAATTTCTTTGTGAAAACGTAATTGCAGCCCCAGAGCACATGGGCCCCTCTGCACACTGACACGGGAGGGAGACTCACTGCCGGGTCCACTGAGAGCCCTCACCACCCGGACCTTCCCTGCTGGGCTGCGGGGCTGAGGAGGGTCTATGAGTGCAGAGAGCTGAGGGTCTCTGGACTGGGGACCCTCCTCCTTGCCTTTCAGACACAGCGTCAGGGCCCCACCTGGGACAGCACTGGCCTATCACAGCCAAGGTGACCTTGGCCAGCTGGCCCCTGTGTGACGCTGGGGAAGGAGGCAGCAGGCAGCAGGTCTGGATTGGGATTGCTGCCCCGCTGGGAGCTCCTAGGAGAAGGTGTCACCCTGAGGGGCCAAGAGGGAGGTGAGTTGAGGCCTGAGGTCTTGCGGCCTTCACCTGGCCTTCAGTTCTGGGGGAAGCCTGGGGACCTCCATCTGCCGCCATCAGCCATTCCGCCTGCGGGACCAGGACCCTCGTCATAGGCAACTTAAAACCTGAGGACATCACAAAGCAGCAAATGAGCCCCTGAACAGAAACCCCCTGGGTCCCCCACCGCCCCCGCCTCCTCTCTAGCCTCCCCACCCCTCCTGGCATGGTGGCTCCCCCAGCAATGCTGCCTTCCTCTCAGACACATGCTCCATACCCGCCGGCACCCTCACCACACCCAGCCTCCTCTAACCTTCCTGGCCTCAGGTTCAGCCTCCCTGTTCCCTGTCCCTGCTCTGTCCCACCCAAGGAGCCGTGCATAGCCCCTCCTCTCCTGTGCCCCTCCCTGGAGACCTCACCCAGCATCTTGCTGCCAGGCACCTCCGGACACTCTCCCCACTTGTGTGTCATTAAGGTGACCCCTTAACCTAGAAGCTTCCAGCAGGGCACCCGCCCCATTGCAGACCCCCTTCCTCCTGCCACCTCCCTCCTGCCCCAGGCCCAGGCTCAGGCTCCAAGCGGCTGACCTACACAGGGCAACCACCATCAATGGTCAGCTGGCCGGGGCCACCTTCTCAGTGTCTGGCCATTTCCTCACTGGCAGGACACTGAACCTTTATCCAAAGCAAGAGGAGGAGACAGGTGAGGGCTACGAGCCACACGGGGCACCTGGGTGAGGAAGAGAGGGGCAGAGACCCCGCTGGCTCAGGGTGAACGGCCCTATGGTGGGCACTGCCCAGTCCCTGCCTGGAGAACAAGCCAGGGGGAGATTCTCCCCTCACGGCCCAGGCTGCCGTGGGGCTGGGATACACGTAACTCTGTGACCCGGAAATGCTCAGCACGCTGCTCCACCTGGCTGCAGCCACCCCTTGCTCCAAGACCAGCCTCTGGGTCTGTCTCCCTCTGCCGTTCTGTGGCTCTGGGCCCCAGGTCAGTGGGGAGGTGGAAGTTGCCCCTGCAGAGAGTGTGTTCCCTCGCTGGGGAGGCCTGGGCCTCCTGCTGCTGGAGGGGCTCCCAGCTGTGAGTGGGCTGGTACCGCGTAGCAGGGAGACAGCATGCCGTGTGGACCCCCTTGGGTTTGGTGATTGGTCACTGCCCGCTGGTGTGCACTCGGCGCTCTGCTGGGCCCGCCCAGGCTTCTCTGATCTCTTGAGATGTTCACAATCCAGCGTTTGGGAGAGACTGAGGTAAAGGCAATTTTGCAACTGCAATAAAACCAGCAACGTGATCCTCTGATGGTTCTGAATGAGATCCGTCTCTCTCCCCTGACTGAGCCGGCAGACTGCAACCCCATGTGTGAGGTCAAAATGAATGTCACATGGTCCCCCACAGAACCAGAGAAGCCATCACCATGGCGTCTGGCCTAATCTGCTCCAGAATCCGACAGGAGTGATCAGAAGATACTCACAGGAAATTGTTTTTCCCTCCTCGTAACCATAGCAACAGATGAGAACTGGCCTTGCTCAATTTTCCGAGTGAGCATCTTTGTCAACACGTAGCCAAGCCCAGGACACAAAAGCAGAGACCAGGGCTGGCAAAAGGGCGTTTCAGAGCTATCAGGGTTTGGGGCTCCTGTGAGGTCTGGTTTCTCCCGTCTCCTGCCCCACCCAACAAGGATGGCTTAGAAGGTTCCTGAGTGTGGATTGGAAGGTGGGTGGAAGGACAATGGACCTCCTGGAAATGCACATACCTGGGCATCATGGTGAGCTGTGGCTGCTGCCTGAGCAGAACCTGACAGGCTGCTTTGCTGCCCAGAGCCCCCACAAGGCCATGGGTGGGCACCAGTCCTCACTTCCGAGATTACAGTCAAATGCTCTTACCCATATCATTCCCTAACTCTGACAGCATCAGGTCCAGACCTATCCCCAAAACCACAAAAGTATCACTGAGAGAAATTAAAGAGCTGAATGAATGGAGAAGTATACCAAGTTCATGGATGGGCAGACTCTCTATGGCTAGGAGTTCAACAACCCCAAAATGATCAGTAGACTGAATTCAATCTTCGTAAAAATTCCCATGGGCTTTGTAACATAAATTGACAAATTGATTGTAAAATATATTTGAAAGTGCAAAGTACTTGGAGAAGAAGTGACCCTGGAAAAGGAGGGCACCGTTGGACTCAGAGGATCTGATTCAAGATGGTACAAAGCCCCAGAAACCAGGACAGTGAGACATTAGTGAATAAAGAGACACTCAGATGATGGAAGAAAATGTGGAGGCCAGAACTAGACCCATTTTCCATTGATTTTTAATGAAGTCTGCAAATAAATTCAATAGAAAAGAAAGTCTCTTTGACAAATGATGTTGACACAACTGGATAAATGTATGCAGGAAATAAGCCCCAACCCCTTCCTCATGCCATACATGAAAATTAATTTAAGATAAACCACAGATCTAAATCTAAAATACAGACTAGGAAATATCTAGGAGAACACACAGGAGAAAATCTGCAACATTGAGGTAAACAAAAGCTCTTTAGAGAGGACACAACAGACTCTACCAACAAAGAAAAAATGACAAGCAGAATGTCATCAAAATTTAAAACTTCAGGTCATCAAGACATTGTTAAAAAACAAAAAGGGCATTTCATAGAATTAGGGAAAAAGGAATATATACACATATATATACACAAAAATATATTTTCTCTATTTATATATATATACACACACATCTTATATGCAGAATACATAGAGAGTTCTTTCAAATTAACAATAAAAAGACAATCCAACTGTCTAAAATATATAAAGAGTTCTTACAAATCAATAGTAAAAATCCAATTAAAAGCTGCAAAAGATACTTCATAAAAGACACAGAAGGGCCGGGCGCAGTGGCTCACACCTGTAATCCCAGCACTTTGGGAGGCCGAGGCGGGTGGATCACGAGGTCTAGAGATCGAGACCATCCTGGTCAACATGGTGAAACCCCGTCTCTACTAAAAATACAAAATATTAGCTGGGCAGGGTGGTGCGTGCCTGTAATCCCAGCTACTCAGGAGGCTGAGGCAGGAGAATTGCCTGAACCCAGGAGGCAGAGGTTGCGGTGAGCCGAGATTGCGCCATTGCACTCCAGCCTGGGTAACAAGAGCAAAACTCCGTCTCAAAAAAAAAAAAAAGACACAGACATGGTGGACAAGCACATGAAAAGCTGTGTAACGTCATCAATCATCAGGAAATAGAAACGAAAACCTCCAGGAAGTAGTTTTTGGCCCTCCAGGTTGGCAACACCAGATGTCAACCTGTGGCGTGCAGGTGCAAGAGCCAGAACGCGCCGACAGGGCGGGCGACGTGTATAACGGGGCCGCCGCCTAGGAAACTGCTTGGCATTCTCTCACGTAGCGTTAAACCTCCACCTCTCCTAGGGCCCTCCTAGGTATTTATCCAAAGGAAATAGAAGCGTTTGTCCCCAAAAATACTTGCTCAAGAATGTTTATAGCAACTGTATTTATAATAGTCAAAAACTGGAAACAACCGACAGGCACAGGGCCAGGAAAAAACGTAAACAGATTTTATATTTATAAAATGGAACATCCTCAATAATAAAAAGGATAAGCTACACACGTGAAGATCAAAAACAACTTGGTTAATCCACCCAAAAGAATATGAGAATAGCACAAAAGGGCTGCTCTTTTTTTTTTTTTTTTTTTTTTAAGGCCGAGTTTCGCTTGTTACCCAGGCTGCAGTGCAATGGCGCGATCTCGGCTCACCGCAACCTCCGCCCCCTGGGTTCAGGCAATTCTCCTGCCTCAGCCTCCTGAGTAGCTGGGATTACAGGCACGCGCCACCCTGCCCAGCTAATATTTTGTATTTTTAGTAGAGACGGGGTTTCACCATGTTGACCAGGATGGTCTCGATCTCTTGACCTCGTGATCCACCCGCCTCGGCCTCCCAAAGGGCTGGGATTACAGGCTTGAGCCACCGCGCCTGGCCCCGGGCCGCTCTATCCCCTCAGCCACAGCGGCTGAGACATGGCACTCAGACCCCACCTGAGTCTTATTCAGGGTGCCCAGGTCCACACTTTGCTCAGGGCTCTGGAGCAGCAGACGGGGGACTGGGGGCGGGGGCATGGGGGCTGCTGCCCGTCAGTGGTGTGTGGCCCCAACGGGTGTCCCACCACCACACTATGTGCTCCCCACTGGAACTCTGGAGCCTGCGTGCCTCCCAGAGGGCTGGTGCAGGGACCCCCAGGCAGCATACACGGGTTACCCCGAGAGTGGCCACAGGAGGCTCGGTGAAGGGCAGCAGCCTGCAGCAATCACTCCACCAGTCTCCCCGAGACACCCCCGTGCACCTCGAGGCAGTGCTGGCTGGCCAGCTCGGATCCGCGGACAGGTGCCAGCTCCACCTGGGAGGATGAAAACGCAGCCAGGTTGCCACTTCCAGGTCTTGCCTGACTTCTGCCTTTTCCCAAACCCAGGGCCTCCTGGTGCCTTCAGTGGGCCCCTCCTCCCGGGGTCCCTTCCCACCCTGGTCCAGCATCGCCTGCAGCATTCATCCCCATGAGGCCAGGCTCAGGCAGGGCCTCCCACCCCATGCAGGAGGCTTGGCTGGCCCATCCTGCAGGGAGCTGGGTGCCTGGCCTTCCAAGAGCTACCAGGACATGTCTTAGAGGTAGACAGGGGCTGGCCGGTAAGCCAGGGCCTGCCCCCTCCCCTCCTGCCCCAGCTTGTCCAGGGGTAGCAGCAGGAAGCCTCCCGGTCTCCCACCCATTCCCAGGCCAGGAGGGGAGACACCCTCAGGGCTGGCGTAGGCCTCCAGCGCACTTCCACCCCCCATCCCCCCACCCCGCCCTACGCCTCAATGCCTAGGGGACAGCCAGCCCTGCCAGCTGAGGATGTGAGCCACACAGGCAATTTTCTCTAGAAATAAATGGAGAGAAATTGCTCTAACAGGCAAACGGCCTCTGTTTCAAGCTAATTTCCACATAATAGAACCAAACTACTTCCCTTTCCTCTCCACTGTCACTTCTGCATAATTTGACAAATTGCAAAGCTATTTGATTCGGGGGCTCAAACAGGCACTGACTCCAGTACTCACGGACAGATGGGGAGCAGGAAGAAGGCAGAGCTCCCCAGAAAGCACCGGCCGCCTCCAGGGCTCAGAGAGGACATTTCCAGGCCGGCAGTTCGGGGTGCAGGCGGGGCGGCAGCCGGGGCTGGGCACCTCCGCATTCCGCCACCGGTTACCCAGGCGAGCAGAGGCCCGTCTGGAAAGGGCTGCCGTGGAGCTGACGTACAATATGTCCCGCGGGGCTTGCCATGGAGCTCCTGGCTCTGATCCGGCGCCTGGCAGGGCCCGTCCTGCTCCCAGCCAAGACCGAGGGCTGTGCTTGTGCTGCCGGCTCGTCTGTGTGCTAAGACCAAGCCAGCCCCAGCCAGGAGAGGCAGCTGGCACCTGATCGCCCCAGCCAGGCCGTGGCGCCCACCGGTCCCGAGCACCGCAACGCCCGCCCGCAGCCATGTTCAGCACCAGCCAGCGGGCTTGACTGCGCCATGCCTGGAGTCCCCACAGGCCCCATAGGTCTCTCCTGCATCTTCTTCTCCATCCACATTGTCCCTGGAACTCGGAACTCCCCCTTGCCACCTCGGGGACCTGCACGTCCCCACCCCACACACAGCCCACAGCTGGGCACGTGGTACAGTGCATCCCGTGTGCAGGGGACGTGTGAAGAAATGCATGCAGCTGGGGCTGCGGACATGGACGCCTCCGTGCAGGGCATCGGGGCAGGCCCCTCACCCACACCCCATGCCAGTGGGCAAGTCCCAGAGCACAGTAGACGGAGCCCAGCACTTTGAGAGGCCGAGATGGGTGGATCACCTGAGGTCAGGGGTTCAAGACCAGCCTTGTCAACATGGTGAAACCCTGTCTTTACGAAAAATACAAAAATTAGCCTGGCGTGGTGGCGCACATCTCTAGTCCCAGGTACTAGGACACTGAGACAGGATAATCGCTTGAACCTGGGAGGCAGAGGTTGCAGTGAGCTGAGATCATGCCGCTGCACTCCAGCCTGGGGGACAGAGCGAGATTCCATCTCAAAAAAAATAAAATAAAATAAAAGACGTCTTTATTATTATTTATTTTACTATTATCATTTTTAACAATGTGATTTTACAATTATACAAAGCCACACTAAAGCAGGCTTGATATTAAACAGTGAGAGCCCCCTTCACCTGCACCCCAGTCCCCCACACTGTTCCTTCCCCGAAGTCCTCCCCGCAATGCACCTGTGAGCACCTTCCAGAGCTTTCCAGGCACCTGTAGGCAGGTGAGAGCACGCAGACAGACGTGGACCCAGGCAGCCCCAGGAGGAAGCCCCCCGAGGCCCCGCCCGGCATTTGCACTTCTCGCCCACTTCCATGCAGAGAAGCAAAACCGGTTCTCACTCAGGAAATGCTGCATGGTCTAACGTGGTGGAGGATCTGTCTCCACTGCGGAGGCCCAGGCTGGAGAGGGCAGGGCTTGGCGGGGACAGCGGGTCACACTCGGACCGTGGACTCAGTTCAAGACCCAGGACAACCCAGCCCAGCAGACCCCAGCCCCCACCGGCTGCCCCGCGCTGCCCCAGAGGCTGAGAGTTGAGGGTGGCTCGTACATCGCCCCTACCTGCAAAGAGCATCCATCCGGGGCACGGGGCAGCAGGAAGCTCCAGCCGAGAGGCGTGCAGACAGGGGATGCCCTGGGGAGGGGGGTCTCCTGCCACAGGGGCCTTCAAGGGCCCTCGGAACCAAAAGGATCCTTTTGGAAACTGAGGCCATCAAGAGAGAGCGATCAAAAGAAACCGAAACACAGGTTCACGATGAGCCTGGATGACGTAGTGAGACCGTCTCTACAACACACGAACATTAGCTGGACGTGGTGGCACGTGCCTGTAGTCCCAGCTACTTGGGGGGCTGAAGCTGGAGGATCACCTGAGCCCAGGAGGCCAAGGCTGCGGTGAGCTGTGATCTCCACTGCACTCCAGCCTGGGTGACCGAGCAGGACCCTGTCTCAAAAAAGAAAAAAAAGCAAACCACAGCAGCTGCAACGAGCCAGGCCTGTCGGGTGCCACGGGAAGGGCGAGGTGAGGGAGGTGGCACGGATGGCTGAGGCTGGGCTGACGGCGGGACCTTGGATGCCAGGCTGAGGTGGCCGGGGCTCCCCGGTGGTCAGCGCAGAGCCAGGCAGTGATGGGGAAGGACAGCTGGGACAAGGAGCCCATGGGGGTGGCTTTGGCATCACCAGCCCCGAAATGATGAGGAGCCATGGGAGGGACAGTGCAGAGCCGTCCTGTGGGAACGCAGACGCTGTGGAGGCTGGCACATGCCCGGACCACACGCTGGTTGAAATAGCAGCCGAGAGACGTAATTAAGAAGGTGCATCTGCTGCCAAAGCCTCCGCCGTGCCAAAGCCAATGGCGTGTGGTTCGGGGACAGCTTGTTCCTGGGACAAGTTGGCCCCTGCAGGGCAGCTCATAGGGACTGGGCATGGTGGGGATGCCTTCGGTCACGCTCTGGCACAGCACCCCACACCCTGCCAGGCCAGGGAGGGAGGGGCAGCTGAGGGAAGCATGCAGCCAGCGCCACACCCTCCAGACCCTGGCTGCGGACACACAGGGCAGGCCGGGCAGGGGCTGTTGGGCTGGGCTGCACCGCGCACACACAAGCACAAGCACCGCTCTGGCTCAAGAGAGGAGTGGAGGGTTAGAACATTCTAGAAGGCCTTCCGAGGGAGGAGGGGCTTGTGCAGATGGGGCACTCCGGGCCAGGAGCTGAGTCTGTGGGAAGGTGCAGGGGTGTCTTCTGCTGGAGAGTGGGTACAAGCCAGACCGGATGGCTGGACCCAGCTTGGGGGAGGATATCTGGGTCAGTCAGGGACCAAGGGAACAGTGTCCAGGAGAGGGTGTCGTGGTGGAGCCCGGCGGCCCCCAGCTGAGCCGTTTCCTCTGGCGTTCACTGGAAGCCCATGTAACAGCAGCAGCCCCCTTGGGTTTGTTCAGCAGCATCCGTACAACCACGCCCTCTCAGAGCCGGTGACTTCAGACCCAAAGGGCCACCACCAGTGGGGATCACGGACCACCCCCCAGCCTGACCTTTCACACCGAGTGCCTGGAGAAGCAGGGCTGGCAGGCACCTGGGGGTTCCCAGAGACTGCTGTCCTCCAGTTGCTTAGAGATCAACCCCCGGCCCAGAGGGCCTGCCTGGCAGGTGCCCCACACTCTGTGAGTTATAAGGTTAAGTGACAACAAGATCGCCCTCGTGGCAGATGAGAGGTTAATTCAGCCACGTGGCTACTGGTGACGGTCCCACAAATGATTTATGAATTTCTTAAAAATATAAAAATATGTCACATCCTCTGGTATGGGTAGAGACTAATTCTGTGCTTGGGCCAACTGGATGAGAAGTTACTCGTTTGTACCAGATGCCAACTTGCTATTCCATGCCAAGTAGAAACAGCACTACCCAGGATAAGGCACCGCTACCTGGCACTTCCTCATGCATCACACATGCCCTCCAGGAGTCCACGCAGCCTGCAATGAGTGCCTCCTCCGTGCCAGCCACCCTGGCAGGGTTGCTGTGTACTGTGGGGGCTGCCAAGACCAATCAGACTCGGCCCTACCCTTGAGGAGCTCGGGCTGCAGCAGCAAGAAGGGGAGGCTAACCCAGCCGCACGTGCCATGCTCGAATGGGTCCAGTGGGGCCCGCGGTCGTTTCATGAGGCTGATGCAGCGTGGCTGGGAGGCTCAGGAGGGTGTCCCCATGGAAGTGACATCTCAACATGGACTTGAAGGATGAGTACAGCCCAGTCAAGGGAAACAGGCAGACGCTCCGCCTGGGCAGTGAGAAGGCAGGCGGGAAACTGAGGCAGACAGAGTGTGGTGAGGTGGAGATGGCAAGCAGGGCATGGGGCCATAAAGGATGAGGGTGAGAGGGTGCAGAGTCCCCGGGGTCCCAGGGCTGGGCCACAAAGAGGCCTGTAGATCTTGCTAAGCCCTCGAAGGTTCTGAACAGAAGACACTTCACACAATGAACACTTTAAGAAGCTCCTTCTGGCCCGATGTCCATCCGTGAATGGATAAACTGTGGTCTAATACCTGCTGCATGGCTGAAGCTTGAAAACTTTCTGCTGCGAGAAGCTGGACGCGAAAGTTCACGTGTCGTGTGACTCCTTTCACACGAAACACGCAGAACAGACAACGAATCCACCAACGGAAAATGAGGGGTTGCCAGGGCTGGGGAGGGGGCGACGGGGAGTGGCTGCTCGTGAACACAGGACTTCTTTTCGGGGTAATCATCCTTCGGAGCTCCATGGTGGTGGCAGCACAGCACTGTGGATCTACGAAACGCCATGGAATTGTACACTTTAAAGTGACAGGTTTGTCTCAGTGAGCAGGAGGAGGAGGACAGCAGCTGCCCCCTCTGACAGCTGTGCGGAGACCAGGCTGCAGGCAGCGGGGCAGGAACTGGGAAGAACAGGCCGAAGCCCCTGCACTGGGCCAGCCCAGAGGGGTTGACGGTCCCAGCCAGTGTGGCAGCCGCTGTGGGGAAGGGCAGAGAGAAGTGGATGGGTTTGATGTATTTTTAGAAGAGAACGTGAGAAATTCACAATTGCCCAGATACGGGGATGTAGGGGGAGGACAGGAGACACGTCTGGCCCAGCACCTGCCCTCAGGAAGCTCACATGTCCCTAAATGATAAGAGGTGGGCAGTGGCGATGAACTGCACTCAGTCACGCTGGGTGGAGGCCCTCAGGAAGCTCCTGACTCAGCTGGGCATCCAGGAAGGCTTCCTGGAGGAAGCATTGCATGGAGACAGACCCAGGGCTTGGGAAACATGAGCTGAACTGCATCGTGAGGGAGTGGGAGACTCCCACCTGGGGAGAAGTCTGCATTTCCTGTCATTCATTCATTCATTCATTCACTCTACACACCCACGGTGAATGCCCGCTGTGTGCCAAGTTTCCTTCCAGGCCCTGAGGAGAGGGTCATTTAGCAAAATGCCTGCCGACGTTTGAATGCGCTCTGAAAACCAGCATTACCCAGACAAATAGTAGCTGGACTTCAGAATTTGGTGTCGCGGAAGCCGAGGTCAGAGGCTGCTGCCTCATCCTTGTTTTTACTGCACTTACACGGCATATTCTGGGAGCCCGGCGCCGTCCTGAGGGCTGCATTTGTCCTGCTAGCAGGTGAGCGGCCTTTCGTAGACACGAGGGCTTTCATTCTCAGGCCCCAGGCCTTCTCCACCCGTGAGTGGACCTCAGTCTCCCTCTCTGAACAACAAGCAGGGTAAGTATAGTGGCCTCCAGGGACCCCTGGCTCTTTGGTTTCAAAATGTGACAGAGGGAGCCTGGCTGAGTGGAGGGGGCTGCTCACAGCGGCTCTCCCAGGCTGGGGCGGCTCCTGCGTGACACAGAAGGGCTGGGGTGGCGGGTCTTGTTCTCCCAGAAGGCTGGGCTGGGAGGCACCATCCTGGTGGGGGCAGGTGTGTGTGCTACCTGGCTCGGCACGTCCTGGGGTAGGGGATGGCAAGGACAGGCCCGAGGCTTGGGCTACAGTGACGCTTGGAGGGCCTGTGCTGCTCCCACACTCCACCCCCTCCAGCACTGAGGCCTCACAGGGCCAGGACCCTGCAGCGAGGAAGCCGGGAAGAGTGCCCCCTGCCAGGGAGGAGACTGCCCAGCGCCCGGCCCTTCCCAGCAGCACCATGGTTGTCACTGGACAGAGAACCAAGAGGGTCTGGAGAATGAGATGGGGTGGCCGGAGGGCCTTCCCATCTGAGGCTATGGAAATGGAACAGAACAGCTCAGTCCCACCCCAAGCTGATCTGCTGAGCCGGATGTCCACTGGAGCCGGGAGGGCAGGAGGCTGAGCGGGAGGCAGGGCTGGCTGAGATGCCGGCCTTCGTGGAGACGGCATGTTGGATCTCCAGGGTTCCTTTCTCCTGACCCTCCTTCCGGCTCAATCCAAGACCTCAGGGCCTTCCAGCTTCCTATCCCCTCTCTACCTGTCCAGGCAAGAACTTCTGCTTTGCCCCCCACCCCAGAAAGCTTCCATGACATCCAAAAGATCTGCCATTGATTGAAGACCCAGGGCAAGTGTTGTTGGAGTTAAATAGTGCAGTGTTTCCTGTCTTACAGCCCGGCAGTGCTCTATCAAACAGGGCACCCCTTACAGCCCGGCAGTGCTCTAACAAACAGGGCACCCCTTACAGCCCGGCAGTGCTCTAACAGGGCACCCCTTACAGCCCGGCAGTGCTCTAACAAACAGGGCACCCCTTACAGCCCGGCAGTGCTCTAACAGGGCACCCCTTACAGCCCGGCAGTGCTCTAACAACAGGGCACCCCTTACAGCCCGGCAGTGCTCTAACAGGGCACCCCTTACAGCCCGGCAGTGCTCTATCAAACAGGGCACCCCTTACAGCCCGGCAGTGCTCTAACAGGGCACCCCTTACAGCCCGGCAGTGCTCTAACAGGGCACCCCTTACAGCCCGGCAGTGCTCTAACAAACAGGGCAACCCCTTACAGCCCGGCAGTGCTCTAACAGGGCACCCCTTACAGCCCGGCAGTGCTCTAACAAACAGGGCACCCCTTACAGCCCGGCAGTGCTCTAACAGGGCACCCCTTACAGCCCGGCAGTGCTCTAACAAACAGGGCACCCCTTACAGCCCGGCAGTGCTCTAACAGGGCACCCCTTACAGCCCGGCAGTGCTCTAACAAACAGGGCACCCCTTACAGCCCGGCAGTGCTCTAACAGGGCACCCCTTACAGCCCGGCAGTGCTCTAACAAACAGGGCACCCCTTACAGCCCGGCAGTGCTCTAACAAACAGGGCACCCCTTACAGCCCGGCAGTGCTCTAACAAACAGGGCACCCCTTACAGCCCGGCAGAGCTCTAACAAACAGGGCACACCTTACAGCCCGGCAGTTCACTAACAGGGCACCCCTTACAGCCCGGCAGTGCTCTAACAAACAGGGCACCCCTTACAGCCCGGCAGTGCTCTAACAAACAGGGCACCCCTTACAGCCCGGCAGTGCTCTAACAAACAGGGCACCCCTTACAGCCCGGCAGTGCTCTAACAAACAGGGCACCCCTTACAGCCCGGCAGTGCTCTAACAAACAGGGCACCCCTTACAGCCCGGCAGTGCTCTAACAAACAGGGCACCCCTTACAGCCCGGCAGTGCTCTAACAAACAGGGCACCCCTTACAGCCCGGCAGTGCATCTATCAAACAGGGCACCCTTACAGCCCGGCAGTGCTCTAACAAACAGGGCACCCCTTACAGCCGGCAGTGCTCTAACCAAACAGGGCACCCCTTACAGCCCGGCAGTGCTCTAACAAACAGGGCACCCCTTACAGCCCGCAGTGCTCTAACAGGGCACCCCCTTACAGCCCGGCAGTGCTCTAACAAACAGGGCACCCCTTACAGCCCGGCAGTGCTCTAACAGGGCCCCCCTACAGCCCGGCAGTGCTCTAACAGGGCACCCTCTACAGCCGGCAGTGCTCTAACAAACAGGGCACCCCTTACAGCCGGCAGTGCTCTAACAGGGCACCCCTTATAGCCCGGCAGTGCTCTAACAAACAGGGCACCCCTTACAGCCCGGCCAGTGCTCTAACAGGGCACCCCTTACAAGCCGGCAGTGCTCTCACAGGGCACCCGCTTACAGCCCGGCAGTGCTCTAACAGGGCACCCTTACAGCCCGGCAGTGCTCTAACAAACAGGGCACCCCTTACAGCCCGGCAGTGCTCTAACAGGGCACCCCTTACAGCCCGGCAGTGCTCTATCAAACAGGGCACCCCTTACAGCCCGGCAGTGCTCTAACAAACAGGGCACCCCTTACAGCCCGGCAGTGCCCTAACAGGGCACCCCTTACAGCCCGGCAGTGCTCTAACAACAGGGCACCCCTTACAGCCCGGCAGTGCTCTAACAGGGCACCCCTTACAGCCCGGCAGTGCTCTAACAGGGCACCCCTTACAGCCCGGCAGTGCTCTAACAAAACAGGGCACCCCTTACAGCCCGGCAGTGCTCTAACAGGGCACCCCTTACAGCCCGGCAGTGCTCTATCAAACAGGGCACCCCTTACAGCCTGGCAGTGCTCTAACAAACAGGGCACCCCTTACAGCCCGGCAGTGCTCAAACAGGGCACCCCTTACAGCCCGGCAGTGCTCTAACAAACAGGGCACCCCTTACAGCCCGGCAGTGCTCTAACAGGGCACCCCCTTACAGCCGGCAGTGCTCTAACAGGGCACCCCTTACAGCCCGGCAGTGCTCTATCAAACAGGGCACCCCTTACAGCCCGGCAGTGCTCTAACAAACAGGGCACCCCTTACAGCCCGGCAGTGCTCTAACAGGGCACCCCTTACAGCCCGGCAGTGCTCTAACAAACAAGGCACCCCTTACAGCCCGGCAGTGCTCTAACAGGGCACCCCTTACAGCCCGGCAGTGCTCTAACAGGGCACCCCTTACAGCCCGGCAGTGCTCTAACAAACAGGGCACCCCTTACAGCCCGGCAGTGCTCTAACAAACAGGGCACCCCTTACAGCCCGGCAGTGCTCTAACAGGGCACCCCTTACAGCCCGGCAGTGCTCTAACAAACAGGGCACCCCTTACAGCCCGGCAGTGCTCTAACAGGGCACCCCTTACAGCCCGGCAGTGCTCTATCAAACAGGGCACCCCTTACAGCCCGGCAGTGCTCTAACAAACAGGGCACCCCTTACAGCCCGGCAGTGCTCTAACAGGGCCCCCCTTACAGCCCGGCAGTGCTCTAACAGGGCACCCCTTACAGCCCGGCAGTGCTCTATCAAACAGGGCACCCCTTACAGCCCGGCAGTGCTCTAACAAACAGGGCACCCCTTACAGCCCGGCAGTGCTCTAACAGGGCACCCCTTACAGCCCGGCAGTGCTCTAACAAACAGGGCACCCCTTACAGCCCGGCAGTGCTCTATCAAACAGGGCACCCCTTACAGCCCGGCAGTGCTCTAACAAACAGGGCACCCCTTACAGCCCGGCAGTGCTCTAACAGGGCACCCCTTACAGCCCGGCAGTGCTCTAACAGGGCACCCCTTACAGCCCGGCAGTGCTCTAACAAACAGGGCACCCCTTACAGCCCGGCAGTGCTCTAACAGGGCACCCCTTACAGCCCGGCAGTGCTCTAACAGGGCACCCCTTACAGCCCGGCAGTGCTCTAACAAACAGGGCACCCCTTACAGCCCGGCAGTGCTCTATCAAACAGGGCACCCCTTACAGCCCGGCAGTGCTCTAACAGGGCACCCCTTACAGCCCGGCAGTGCTCTAACAAACAGGGCACCCCTTACAGCCCGGCAGTGCTCTAACAGGGCACCCCTTACAGCCCGGCAGTGCTCTAACAGGGCACCCCTTACTGCCCGGCAGTGATCTATCAAACAGGGCACCCCTTACAGCCCGGCAGTGCTCTAACAAACAGGGCACCCCTTACAGCCCGGCAGTGCTCTAACAGGGCACCCCTTACAGCCCGGCAGTGCTCTAACAGGGCACCCCTTACAGCCCGGCAGTGCTCTATCAAACAGGGCACCCCTTACAGCCCGGCAGTGCTCTAACAAACAGGGCACCCCTTACAGCCCGGCAGTGCTCTAACAGGGCACCCCTTACAGCCCGGCAGTGATCTAACAAACAGGGCACCCCTTACAGCCCGGCAGTGCTCTAACAAACAGGGCACCCCTTACAGCCCGGCAGTGCTCTAACAGGGCACCCCTTACAGCCCGGCAGTGCTCTAACATACAGGGCACCCCTTACAGCCCGGCAGTGC